ATCAATATAAATAAAAATGTAATGTTTGTTTGTGGATTAACAGAACTCAAAAACCACTGGACGAATTGACACCAAATTTGGACACAAGATACCTAACAACCCAATGCATGCCCTTCACTCCAAAAATTGATTTTGTCATTTGGGAGTTGTAGTTGCTGGGATTTATAGTTCACCTACAATCAAAGAGCATTCTCAACCCCACCAACAATGGAATTGACAGAGGTACTCCTGGTCAGTCGAAAGGTCAAACAGAGCATAGGGTTACAGCCTATGTTGGATGGGGTTACACTCCCCCTGAAGACGCAGGTTCGCAGCTTGGGAGTGACTCTGGACTCATCGCTGAGCCTGGAACCCCAGGTTTCGGCGGTGGTCAGGGGAGCATTTGCACAGTTAAAACTTGTGCGCCAGCTGCGCCCGTACCTTGGGAAGTCTGACTTGGCCACGGTAGTCCACGCTCTGGTTACATCCCATTTAGACTACTGCAACGCTCTCTACGTGGGATTGCCTTTGAAGACGGCTCGGAAGCTTCAACTAGTCCAGCGCTCGGCAGCCAGGTTACTAACAGGAGCGGCACTCAGGGAGCATACCACTCCTCTGTTGCGCCAGCTCCACTGGCTGCCAATTTGCTACCGGGCACAATTCAAAGTGCTGGCGTTAGCCTATAAAGCCCTAAACGGTTCCGGCCCTACTTACCTCTCCGAACGCATCTCCACCTATGAACCGACCAGGACATTAAGATCGTCTGGGGAGGCACTGCTCTCGGTCCCGCCTTCATCGCAGGCGCGCCTGGCGGGGACGAGAGACAGGGCCTTCTCGGTGGTGGCCCCTCAGCTGTGGAATGCCCTACCTGCAGACATCGGACAGGCCCCCTTGCTGCTAGCGTTCCGGAGGAAGGTGAAGACCTGGCTCTTCGAACAAGCGTTTGGCTAATCAGTGCAATGAAATATAGGAACACGGTGCAATCGAACATAGGAATATGGAACAAGGATTACGAGAAGGATTCTGATTTGTTGTTGAGGCGCTATGATTAGGATAATGATTGTTTTTGATATTGATTGTTATGTAGAATGTATAATGTGTTTTATTTGCTTTGATACTGTCTTGTGATAATCTGTATTATGTAAACCGCTTTGAGTCGCCTAAGGGCTGAGAAAAGCGGTACAGAAATAAATAAATAAATAAATAAATAGAATCAAACTTGGCACACAGTTCTCCCCTGACCAACAGAAAATACTGGAAGGTTTTGGTGGGCAGTGTTCTTTGGTTTTGGAGTTGTAGTTCACCTACAGCCAGAGATCACTGTGGACTCAAACAATGATGGATCTGGACCAAACTCTACACGAATACTCAATATGCCCAAATGTGAATACTGGTGGAGTTTGGGGAAAATAGAATCTTGACATTTGGGAGTTATAGTTGCTGGGATTTATAGTTCACCTACAATCACAGAGCATTCTGAACCCCACCAATGATAGAATTGGACCAAACCTCCCACACAGAACTCCCATCTGGGCCACAGCAACGCGTGACAGGGGACGGCAAGTAAGCAATAAAAAGTTATAAAACACTAGATTAAAATAGGCTCTGGAGAATAAATTGGTCCTGACTCCAATTTGTTCTCAGTAACAGGGGGGAAAGAAATACACAAACAATTCAATGGTTGTGTTAGGCAGGTGTCACTGTGAGGGAGCTGCATCACAAAACAGGTAAAGAGGAGGCAGAGGATTACCCAGCTAAAGGGCCTTGGCAGATGTAACCTTATCACTGAGAACTGATAAGAGGTCTTGGCAGACTGGAAAAAGTTGGTCCCAACTTCAAAAATGAAAATCCTATCCCAGTATATCCTACCTTGTTCATATCAGCATTATTTTTTAATTTTAATCTCTTACATTTGGCCCAGCAATTGGTTTTAAATGCTTGTATTCTGTTGATTCTTTAATGCTTATTTTTTGTTGTGATTGATATGAATTGTATTGTGTTGATGGTTTTATTGATGTTTTGTTTATTGATGTATTTTGGGCTTGGCCTCATATAAGCCACACCGAGTCCCTTGGGGAGATGGTAGCAGGGTACAAATAAAGTTTTATTATTATTGGGTTGTTGTAGGCTTTTTTGGGCTATATGGTCATGGTCTAGAGGCATTCTCTCCTGACGTTTCGCCTGCATCTATGGCAAGCATCCTCAAAGGTTGTGAGGTCTGTTGAAACTAGGAAAATTGGGTTTATATATCTGTGGAATGACCAGAGTGGGACAAAGGACTCTTGTCTGCTAGAGCTAGGTGTGAATGTTTCAACTGACCACCTTAATTAGCTCCAAAATTACAACAACACAACAACAGAGAGGAAACAAACAAGGACATTTAATCACCTCTCAACAAAAGTTTGCTTTAGGCACTGCCAGGCCATCAAATGCTAATCAAGGTGGTCAGTGGTCAAGTTTGCAGACGACACCAAATTGGGAGGGATAGCCAAGACTCCAGAGGACAGGAGCAGGATTCAAAATGATCTTGACAGATTAGAGAGATGGGCCAAAACTAACAAAATGAAGTTCAACAGTGACAAATGCAAGATACTCCACTTTGGCAGGAAAAACGAAATGCAAAGATACAGAATGGAGACGCCTGGCTTGAGAGCAGTACGTGTGAAAAAGATCTTGGAGTCCTCGTGGACAACAAGTTAAACATGAGCCAACAATGTGATGTGGCGGCAAAAAAAGCCAATGGGATTTTGGCCTGCATCAAGAGGAGCATAGTGTCTAGATCTAGGGAAGTAATGCTACCCCTCTATTCTGCTTTGGTTAGACCACATCTGGAATATTGTGTCCAATTCTGGGCACCACAATTCAAGAGAGATATTGACAAGCTGGAATGTGTCCAGAGGAGGGCGACTAAAATGATCAAGGGTCTGGAGGACAAGCCCTATGAGGAGCGGCTTAAGGAACTGGGCATGTTTAGCCTGATGAAGAGAAGGCTGAGAGGAGATATGATAGCATGTATAAATATGTGAGAGGAAGCCACAGGGAGGAGGGAGCAAGCTTGTTTTCTGCTTCCTTGGAGACTAGGACGCGGAACAATGGCTTCAAACTACAAGAGAGGAGATTCCATCTAAACACGAGGAAGAACTTCCTGACTGTGAGAGCCGTTCAGCAGTGGAACTCTCTGCCCCGGAGTGTGGTGGAGGCTCCTTCTTTGGAAGCTTTTAAAGAGGCTGGATGGCCATCTGTCAGGGGTGATTTGAATGCAATATTCCTGCTTCTTGGCAGAATGGGGTTGGACTGGATGGCCCATGAGGGCTCTTCCAACTCTTGGATTCTATGATTCTATGATTCTAATGCCATAAGACTGGTGAGTGTGTTTTGGAAGAAACTGGTGGAGCTCCAGCAGACAAGAGTTCTTTGTCCCACCCTGGTCTTTCCACAGATATAATTATAAACCCGTTTTCCTAGTTCCAACAGACCTCACAACCTTTGAGGTCTGTTGGAACAGATGTGGGTGAAATGTCAGGAGAGAATTTTTCTGGCACATGGCCAGACAACCCAGAAAACTCACAGAAACCCAAACATAATAATATATTTATCCATTTGTTTATTTACGACATTTATATGCCGCCCTTCTCAGAGCGGCTTACAAGTAAAAAGTAAATACAATATATTATTTTATTTATTATTTATTTTATTTACTCCATTTGTTGCTGTGGCCCAGTCTGGTGATCTGGAAAATAAAGTAATGAGAAAGTGTTGGTTTCTAATATATGTAATTCCTTTCTGCTTGTGAGTAAACAGCATTTCTTGTTGTTTCTTTGTCAGTGTTGATGTGGAGAGTGTCTGGTTTGCCCACTGGAATATGCAAGCTATCATAGTCCTTCTTTAAGGGTCTCTTTCAAATCTGTGATACTATATCTGTGTGTGTGAGAGAGAATCATATCTATCTATTTATATTTATGACTGGATGGCTCTTTGTCAGGAGGGCTCTGATTACATTTTCTTGCCCTGGTGAAGAGAGTTGGACTGGATGGCCTTAAGTATTTTCTGTTGGTCATGGGGGTTCTGTGTGGGAAGTTTGCCCCATTTCTGTCGTTTGTGGGTTTCAGAATGCTCTTTAATTGTAGTGAACTATAAATCCCAGTAACTACGAATCCCAAATGTCAAGGTCTATTTCCTCCAAACTCCATCTGTGTTCATATTTAGGCATATGGAATTTTTGCGTCAAGTTTGGTCCAGATCCATCATTGTTTGAGTCCACAGTGCTCTCTGGATGTAGGTGAACTACAACTCCCAAACTCAAGGTCAATGCCCACCGAAACCTTCCAGTGTGTTCTGTTGGTCATGGAAGTCCTGTATGCCACGTTTGGTTCAATTCATTCATTGATGGAGTTCAGATACTCTTTGGTTGTAGGTGAACTATAAATCCCAACAATTACAACTCCCAAATGACAAAACCATATTTTTGAGTGATGGTCACTCCTTGTGTTGTGAGACATATTGTTGCCAAATTTGGTGTGATTTCGTTCATTGGTTCTGTTGTTTTTAAGGTACTCATTATGCACAGAGCATTTTTATATATATAGAAGAAAGAAGATCATAGCACAATATTAATATTCTACATTACATTGTACTTTAACGTTATATTGTAATATTATTAGTAACATTACATTTAATATAAATATATAATTATAATATCATATTATTATTAGCAGTAGTAATATTATTATTTGTAATATATAAATAAATAAATATTATTTTCTGTTTATTTTCACGAAAAGTTCATAATTCCCAGTCTCAGCCACTAAAGGCCTTCCTTTCTAGTCGAAGAAGCCACTTTTTCTGTTTCTGAAAAGTTTCCTCCGCAGAAGAGGGCCCAACTACAACTCCCATCCCACACAAACCCGGCTAAGGACGATGGGAGTTGTAGCATGAGGGACATGGAAGGCTGGAGGGGGGGGAGAGAATGTAACTTCTGCAGAAAGTAACTTCTGCAACGCAAGAGGGGCTGGGTTATTTACCTGAGCGTCCCGAAACTCCACCACAACATTCTCGCTACTCCAGCGCGCCGCCATCTTGGCTTCTACCTCTAAATCACGCAGCGGGGCACGCCGATGATGTCACACGCACGTAAGGACGTTTCCCGCAGGGCCTGCCGGGAAGTGTAGTCTTAAGGGGGAAGAAGCTGTTAACATTGAGACAGAGGCTTGGAAGTGAAAGCGTTGGATGAGGATTACATGACGAAGTGCACTGCGGAAACTCATCAAGGAGTGCGTCTGCACTGTAGAATAAATGCAGTTTGAGTCCCTTTCCTTTTAATATTATGCAGTTTGATACTTTATTAAACAGAAGAAGGAAACCTTGGCGCATGCGCACTGGGCGCCTCTTTCCCTCCTCAGAAGCGGGGAGCTTTGGCGCATGCGCCACGCGTGTAAATCCCCCGGCGCGTGCGCAGTCGGGCGCCTCTCGCGTGTTTCCTCCAGAAGCGACGGACGGGACTCTTTGCGCATGCGCTTTTTGCGCCTCTGATCTTTTTCTTTTTCCTCAAAAGAAGCGGCAGTCAGGCAACTCCCTTGCGCATGCGCAGTTAGGAACCCCCATTGTCTTCGAAAGCAGCGGCGGCGGCGTAGTAATGCACTCTTTGCGCATGCGCTTTGTGCGCCTGTGTTGTCTTTCAGCAGTGCCTTGGCGCATGCGCACCGCGTGCAAATCTCTCCAGCGCTTGCGCAATCGGACGCCCCTATTGTTTCCTACAGCAACAGAGGGGATCTTGGCGCATGCGCAGATCACGGGAGGCAGTCTGGCCCTTGTCGCGTGCGCAGTCGGGCACCCTTATTGTTGCCTTCAGAAGCAAAAGGGGATCCTGAGCGCATGCGCATATCGTGGGAGGCCGTCCGGCTTTTGACGCGTGCGCAGTCGGGCGCCCCTATTGTCTTCCTCCAGAAGCAACAGTAGAGGGGATCGTTGGCGCATGCGCAGATAGCGGGGAGGCAGTCCGGCCTTTGACGCGTGCGCAATAGGGCGCCCCTATTGTTTTCATTCCTTCAGAAGCAACAGAGGGATTCTTGGCGTATGCGTAGATCACGGGAGGCTGTCTGGCCCTTGACGCGTGCGCAGTCGGGCACCCCATTTCTTCAGAAGCAAGAGGGGATACTTGACGCATGCGCAGGTTGCGGGAGGCACCCCGGCCTTTGACGCATGCGCAGTCGGGCGCCCCTATTGTCTTCTTTCCTTCAGAAGCAACAGAGGAGGAGGGGATCTTTGGTGCATGCGCAGATTAAGTGAGGCAGTCGGGCACCCTATTGTCTTCATGTATTGTTTGAGGCCTTGGCCTTTGTAAGCCGCATCGAGTCCTGCGGGAGATGCTAGCGGGGTACAAATAAAGTTATAATAATAATAATAATAATTCCTTCAGAAGCAACAGAGGCAGGGGAGGGAATCCTTGGCGCATGCGCACACTACCCCGACTTTGGAACACCCTCCCCAAAGATCTTAGACAGGCCCCTACGTTGGCAGTCTTCAGAAAGAACTTGAAGACCTGGCTGTTCCGATGTGCCTTCCCAGAATAGGAAAACTCCAATACCAAGTCCCAGAAGCACTGTATTAGAACTAAGATTGCCGCATGCTGCACATGCCCTATAATCCTTACATATCACCTGTCACATTAGCACTTTTAATTTCTGTACCCTTCACTCTGGTCCGGCCTAGTTTTATTGTCTTTTGGTGTATTGTTTATTGCTTGTTGTTTTAATATTGTTTATTTATTTATTTAAAAGTTTTCTATACCGATCTTCTCACCTACAAGAGGGACTCAGATCCGGTTCACAACATGTGTTCATATACAAAAATACAAACCACACAATGCATCATCATTACACAATTAAAAACATATTACAATATTGCTTTAAAAACAATACAAAATTGTTTTTAATTTGCTTTAGGCTCGTATTGTTATGTTGTGTGTTGAAGCCTTGGCCTTTGTAAGCCGCATCGAGTCCTTCGGGAGATGCTAGCGGGGTACAAATAAAGTTTAATAATAATAATAAGTGAGGCAGTCTGGCCCTTGACGCATGCGCAGCCTGGCACCCTTATTGCCTTCAGAAGCAGAAGGAATCCTGAGCGCATGCGCGTATCGTGGGAGGCAGCCTGGCCCTTGACGCGTGCGCAGTCGGGCGCCCTATTCTTTTCCTCCAGTAGCAGAGGGGATCCTGAACGCATGCTCATATCGTGGGAGGCAGCTTATTTATTTATTGCATTTGTTGACCGCCGTTCTCAGCCCTTTCGGGCGACTCACGGCGGTGTACAACATATATAAAAAAAGTTTACAATACAACCCTCATACAACACAGTAAGCATGTAACATCAATAATACAACAATAATTACTCTAAATCATCCGCGTCGTCTCATCGTAAAATCGTAAACCAATCTCGTATTCCATATTCCGTTCCAGTCATCAATGCCAGTTATTGTAATGTTTAGTTGAACGCCTGCTCGAATAGCCATGTCTTTAAGCTCTTGCGGAATGACATAAGGGAGGGCGCCTGTCTGATGTCCACAGGGAGGGTGCTCCATAGCCGGGGTGCCACCACCGAGAAGGCCCTATCTCTCGTCCCCGCCAAACGTGCCTGTGAGGCAGGCGGGATCGAGAGAAGGGCCTCCCCAGATGATCTCAAGGCCCTCGTGGGCTCATAGGCCGAGATGCGGTCAGAAAGGTATTTTGGGCCGGAACCGTTTAGGGCAGGGGTAGGGAACCTTTGGCCCTCCAGCTGTGGTGGACTTCAACTCCCACAATTACTTGAGGCTCGGCATTGGCCAAGGTAAGCCTTTGGGGCGAATGCCGAGCCTCAAGGAATTGTGGGAGTTGAAGTCCACCACAGCTGGAGGGCCAAAGGTTCCCTACCCCTGTTCTAGAGGCATTTCTCCTGACGTTTCGCCTGCATCTATGGCGGTAGCAGATCGGCAGCCAGTGGAGCTGGAACAACAAGGGCGTTGTGTGCTCCCTGCGTCCCGCTCCTGTTAGTAACATGGCTGCCGCGCGCTGGACTAGCTGAAGCTTCCGGGCCGTCTTCAAGGGCAGCCCCACGTAGAGAGCGTTGCAGTAATCAAGGCGGGCTGTGACCAGAGCGTGTACCACCGCGGCCAAGTCAGACTTCCCGAGGTACGCGTGCGCTGTCGGAAGCAAGAGGGGGAATCCTTAGCGCATGCGCACATCGCGGGAGGCAGTCCGGCCCTAATTGTCTTCATTTCGTCAGAAGCAACACAGGAGGAGGGGACCCTCGGCGCATGCGTAGACCGCGGGAGGCCGTCCGGCGCTGGGCGCGTGCGCAGTGTGCGCCGCTATTGTCTTGTTTCCTTCCCTCCTCCTCAGGAGGAGGAGGCGGCGGCGGCTGAGGCAGTGGCGGCTGAGGAGGCTCGTCAGTCCCTTCTCCCCCCTGGATGAGCCCCGCCGGAGGCCCGAGCCGCCCTCTGGGGCGCGGCGGAGAGAAGAAGCCGAAACAGAAGGAGGAGGAAGAGGAGGAGGATGCAGCAGTAGAGGCGGAGGCGGCGGAGGAGGCCTGGCCCCGGCCATGGGCGGCAAGCAGAGCTCCGCGGCGGCGGCAGCGGCGGCTACGGGAGGAGGAGGAGGAGGTCCCGGAGGCCGCGCCATGGGCCTCCGCAGCCGCTCCGTCAGCTCCGTGAGCGCCGCCGCCGCCAGCGCCGCGGGGGAGGCCTCCTCGACGGCGTCCTCCTCCTCCTCCTCGGCGCCAGGCCCCACGCCTCAGCCTCACCCTTCCTCCTCGGCCTCCGGAGCAGGCCCCGCCCCCTTCTCCCATGGCAACGGTTTCCAGGAGACCACAGGGGGAGGGGGCGCGCCTGCCCCCCGCGACGGGGTGCTCTACCTGGGCGCGCGCGCCTCCTCCGCCCTCGCCGACGCCCTCCCCATACACCTCGGCCCAAGGTGGTTCGGCGCCTCGCACGGAGGTGAGTCGGGCACAATCAGATCTCTCCCCGCAGAGGGCCGGCATCCCAATATGGTTTCAAGGCCTACAGAGCAGGAGGCACTGCCCTACAGGTGGAAGGGACATCTAGTACGACCCCCAGTTGGAAAGGAAGGGATGGAGGCACAATCAAATCTCTCCAGACAGATGGTCGCCATCCCAATATGATTTCAAGGCCTCCAGAGGAGGAACAACTGCCATACAGTTAGAAAGGGGAACCCCCAAAGGACATCTAGTCTGTCTCTATTTGGCAATAGAGGGATGGAGGCACAATCAAATCACTCCCGACAGATGGCCGTCATCCCAATATGATTTCAAGGCCTCCAGAGCATACAGTTAGAAGGGAGACCCCCCCCCCCCAAAGGACATCTAGTCTGTCTCTATTTGGCAATAGAGGGATGGAGGCACAATCAAATCACTCCTGACAGATGGCCGTCATCCCAATATGATTTCAAGGCCTCCAGAGCATACAGTTAGAAGGGAGACCCCCCCCCAAAGGACATCTAGTCTGTCTCTATTTGGCAATAGAGGGATGGAGGCACAATCAAATCACTCCCGACAGATGGCCGTCATCCCAATATGATTTCAAGGCCTCCAGAGCATACAGTTAGAAGGGAGACCCCCCCCCAAAGGACATCTAGTCTGTCTCTATTTGGCAATAGAGGGATGGAGGCACAATCAAATCACTCCCGACAGATGGCCGTCATCCCAATATGATTTCAAGGCCTCCAGAGCATACAGTTAGAAGGGAGACCCCCCCCCCAAAGGACATCTAGTCTGTCTCTATTTGGCAATAGAGGAATGGAGGCACAATCAAATCACTCCTGACAGATGGCCATCATCCCAATATGATTTCAAGGCCTCCAGAGCATACAGTTAGAAGGGAGACCCCCCCCCAAAGGACATCTAGTCTGTCTCTATTTGGCAATGGAACGATGAGGTACAATTAGACCTCTCATGACAGATGGGCATCATCCCAGTTTGGTTTAAAGCCCATCAGAGGAGAACGCACTGCCATACATTTAGAAGGGGGACCCGCAGATGACATCTAGTCTTTCTCTATTTGGCAATAGAGGGATGGAAGCACGATTAGATCTCTCCCGACAGATGGCCATCATCCCAATATAGTTTCAAGGCCTTCAGATGAGGAAGCACTGCCCTACAGGTGGAAAGGAACCCTCCAAAGGACATCTAGTCTGCCCCTATTTGGCAAAGGAGGGATGAGGCACAATTAGACCTTTCCCAACAGATGGCCATCATCCCAGTGGAGTTTAAACGCCTTCAGAGGAGGAGGGGAGGGATGGAGGCACAATTAGACCTCTCCTGACAGATGACCGTCATCTCTGTGTGGTTTAAAGCCCATCAGAGGAGGAGGAACTGCCATACAGTTAGAAAGGGGAGCCCCCAAAAGACATCTAGTCTGTCCCTATTTGGCAATAGAGGGATGAGACACGATTAGACCTCTCCCGACAGATGGGCATCATCCCAGTTTGGTTTAAAGGCCTTCAGATGGGGAGGCACTGCCATACAGGTGGAAGGGACCCCTCTAAAGGATGTTTAGTCTGACCCTGTTTGGAAATGGATTGAGGGAGGCACAATTAGACCTCTCCTGACAGATGGGCATCATCCCAGTTCAGTTTAAAGGCCTTCAGAGGAGGAGGCCCTGCCCTACAGGTGGAAGGGGAACCCCCAAAGGACATCTAGTCTGACCCTGTTTGGAAATTGATTGAGGGATACACAACCAGACCTCTCCTGACAGATGGTCTTCATCCCAGTGTGGTTTAAAGCCCATCAGAGAAGGAGGCACTGTTCTACAGGTGGAAAGGGACCCCCAAAGGACATCTAATCTTACCCCGTTTGGAAATTGAGGAAGGGGGACACTATCAAACCTCTCCCGACAGATGGTCATAATTCCACTGTGGTTTAAAAGCATCCAGAGGATGAGGCACTTCCATATACTTGGAACTCCAAAGGCCATAGAGAACAACCTCGTGGTGCCATGAAGCAACACACACTTTCTGGATGGTCTCCCTCAGGCCTGGACCTCTTTCTTCTTTTATTATAGAATCATAGCGTTGGAAGTAACCCCAAGGGGCCTCTTCTACTTTGAAGGGAGACACAATCAAAGCCCTCCCAACAGATGGCCATTCTGCCTCTGCTTAAAGGCTTTATGCTAGCTGCCTCCCCAAGGCTTCACTAGGCCGTTCTTCCTTGAATATTGAGTTGTGTTTGTTATAGAATCATAGAGTTATGAGGAACCCCCAAAGCCCACCCACTCCAATCCCAGGTGAAAAGGCACAGTCAAAGCTCTCCCTACAGATGGCCAGCCAGCCTTTGCTTAAAAATCTCCAAAAAAAGGAGTCCCTATACAGACTGCTAAGCATTATCATCTGCCGTCAAACAACTCAAACCTCAAACACCCTCCCTCCAGTTCAGATGGAATATCTTTTACTACAAAGCCTTATGACTTTGCCAAGCATTAATGGTATTTTCTAGCAAACCATGCCTTTTTGTGATATGTCCAAAATACAACAACCTCGGCCTTGGCTCAGCCATCTTGGCTTGCAGTTAGCCACAGTGCCTGGTGTTTATTGCAGTTTCCCTAATAATAATAATAATAATAATAATAATAATAATTGCAGCCACAGTGCCTGGTGTTTATTGCAGTCTCCCTAATAATAATAATAATAATAATAATAATAATAATAATAATAATAATAGCAGCTACAGTGCCTGGGGTTTATTGCAGTCTCCCTAATAATAATAATAATAATAATAATAATAATAATAATAATAATAATAATAGCAGCAGCCACAGTGCCTGGTATTTATTGCAGTCTCCCTTCTAATAATAATAATAATAATAACAGCCACAGTGCCTGGTGTTTATTGCAATTTCCCTAATAATAATAATAATAATAATAATAATAATAATAGCAGCCTGGTGTTTATTGCAGTCTCCTTTCTAATAATGATAATAATAATAATAGCAGCCTGGTGTTTATTGCAGTCTCCTTTCTAATAATAATAATAATAACAATAATAATAATAATAATAGCCATAGCGCCTGGTGTTTATTGCAGTCTTCCTAATAATAATAATAATAATAATAATAATAATAATAATAATAGCAGCCACAGTGCCTGGTATATATTGCAGTCTCCCTTCTAATAATAGTAATAATAATAATAATAATAGCAGCCACAGTGTCTGGTATTTATTGCAATTTCCATAATAATAATAATAATAATAATAATAATAATAATAATAATAATAATAATAATAGCAGCAGCCTGGTATTTATTGCAGTCTCCTTTCTAATAATGATAATAATAATAATAATAGCCACAGTGCCTGGTGTTTATTGCAATCTCCCTTCTAATAATAATAATAATAATAATAGCAGCCACAGTGCCTGGTATTTATTGCAATCTCCCTTATAATAATAATAATAATTATTATTATTATTATTATTATTATTATTATTATTACCTGCCTCTCCTTGTGGCTCAGGATGGGTTACAGCATAAACACTGTTAACTTTCTATAAATATACATATTTGTATAAGGTATACATATTTCTGTAAAATATTGAAATAGGAAGAGATTAAACACAGACACGAGTTTGAAATTCATGCTTAAAGCTGGCTGGGTAGGCCTGCCGGAAGAGATAGGCCTTTTGATGAGTTTTAGCGTTACCCATGGCTCACGCTTCTTGGCTTCTAAGATTAGATGAGATTTGGGGCCTGTAGTAGTGTATTTAGGAGAGTAGCTGTTGGGTTGAATAGTGTCAGGGGCCTAAAAGGATACTTTGATGGGTCTTAGCACAAAAAGGAAGCCATGCCTTGCTTTTGGAGAGAATAACAGTGCTCTCCTTAGAATGGATATTCCTGTATTTACGGCACTGCCTTCATCTCCAGCTGCCCTTTCCTTAAGCCGGAAAAAGGAACCTCATAACTGTTTATGCAAAGCGAAGATAGGTGAGAGTTGAGGCATTCACAGCTTGCAGACCTTGTGGTTTTCCTTGCCATCTCCTTGCAGAGACATCTGGCTACAGGATGCAGGGCTTGACGGATCTTTGGTATTAATCCATTGGAAGGTGTTAAAACTGAGGGGATGTTTGATTGGAAAGGTCAGGACTGAACTGAAAGTCTAAAATATAAAGGAGATGCTTCTCTGAGTCATTGGGCTGAGTTTCTGTTTGTGGGGATGCTGGAGGAAAGTCTTTCCAAGTGAAATAAAAGTCCGGATATGAGACTCTTCCAAATTACAAAATTATTCATTTTTACTCAAGTAATGCACCATTGAATCTAATGCGCAGCCCAATTTTTAAAACCCTGAAACCAAAAAGAGTATCTTATTTATTTTATTTTGTTACTGTAACTATTTTCTGATGTAATATTTTTGTTCTCTGCATTCTGTATTTTATTGAGCTGTATTGTATTTTTGAGCTTGGCCTCATGTTAGCTGCCCCGAGTCCCCATCGGGGAGATGGTGGCAGGGTATAAATAAAGATGATGATGATGATGATTATTATTATTATTAGAAACAGAACGAGATGAGTCCGCAGCAGACAAGATCACTCTGCTGGCTGTTGTATTGTTGTTGTTGTTGTTGTTGTTGACACAAAAGCACAGTATGTCACAGCAAACGAGATCTATGCTGGATTTCGTATCACAAAATCACAAGTTGAACACTTCCCAAGCATCTAGGACTGTGTGATGTATTTTTCGAATGATGTGCACAGATCCAAGACAGGTGGCCTTTTACAGTTGACAAATCGTGATTTTGTCAATGTTGATTGTTTCTAAATGCCAGCTGAGATCTTTTGGCCCGGCACCTAGTGTGCCGATGACCACTGGGACCACCTTTACTGGTTTATGCTGCTAGAGCCTTTGCGGTTCGATTTTGAGGTCTTGATAGCGGCTGAGTTTTTCCTGTTGTTTTTCCTCAATGTGACTCTCACCTGGAATGGCGGCATCA